GCTGCCACCCAGAACAAGAGGCTGACCCCCCACATCCCTTGCCAGCCCAGGGATGCTCTGTCCAGGCTCAAACTGCTGCAGTCCCAGGCACACATGCAGACACTGCACCTGGAAGCAGCTAACTCTGGTGCCAGAGTTCATCATGTCACCTTAACGGCATGTGTAGATGCACCCACAGTGATGCAATTAGAGACCAGAGAAATGTGTCTTGTTTTTACAACTGAGCAAAGGACAAGGAACAGAATCAAATATATTGTGTCAATATTCATTAATTTACTCATACTGCAGTACATATAACAGACAAATCAGACTGCACATGCAACTGAATATACAGCACTTACTAGTAAATATAATCTACTAGAGTACTCACAGATTTTCTACAAGCTCGAGAAGCAAACATCTGTCTGACTCTGGATGGCCTACACATGACTCCAGGGCAATCACTTAGCATAAAGATCAGCTCTTCTATGTCCTGAGGACCAAAAGTCCAGTTTTTGCTTGTTGGCAAAGAAATCAGCTTAACCCTTTGAGTTACAGGAGCTGAAAGATGTTTTAAAAAGTGCTAAAGAAACAGTGTATAACTGCAAATAAAAATAAATAAAGTCTGAAACATACTATTTGTAAAGATTGGTTGAGAGTGACCTCTACACACATTGAAATAATTATCCAGGTCTTTTGACGGTTGTTATAAAATGGTAAAATTTTATCTAGCACAAGTATACAGGCATTCCTTGGACTTGTGACAATTGGTTCCTGAAAACTGTGTCTTTAGTCAAAACGCTGTAATTTGGTACCAATTTTCTCATAAGAAACAATGTTATAATGGGGGATTGGTTTCTGAACCAAGGCCCAATACCCTATTTTCACCAAAAATACCCCAAAATTTTGTACTTGATCAATTATAGATGAGTAATATAGCTACATTAATGTATTTATATTGTAAATAGCAATCGTATTGATTTGGAAGGATGTCATTGAGGTGACTCTGCTAGACTTTTTGAAAGGCTGTTGGCAGGACTTTTTGAAGAGTTCTTGGCTGGACTCTTCTCACAAGACTTGGCTGCAGGTTTTTCTGGAGTCTTGTCTGCTTTCTTAAAGAAAGTGTCCAAGGAAGTTTGGACAGATGTTCTCCAGGGAGATGAGCGATGCAGCGAACTTGTTTGCTGGCATGGCATTGCATTGGATCAAGTATTGTAAAGTTGAAACCGACGTCATAAAAGTTGAAACCAAGTGTCAATTTAGAAATGGTGTAAGTGCGAAATGTTGTAACTCGAAACATTGCAAGTCAAGGACTTCCTGTACTTGTTTCTGAAATTCTTTTGTTAACCAAAGTAAAGAAAAAAAATCTGGTAAATCCAACTTCTGAAAAACTGGGCAACTTTACAGAGTTGACAGTCTACAGCAGGGGTCAGCAACCCCCGGCACGCGTGCCGAACATGGCACATAAGGCCATTTTGCTCGGCATGCCACAGCCAGCCACGGCTCTGGGTAGCTGCTGCCAGCGACAGAGCCCAGGCTGCTCTCAGCAGGGTTTGCAGCATCTCAGCTGCCTGCTGGGAGCAGCTACCCAGAGCTGGGGCCGGCTGCCGCCAAGAGGCTGCAAACAGCTCTGCCGGGCTCCAGAGTCCAGGCATCAGCTCTGTACCGACACGTGCACGCGCGCCTTGAAGCAGGCAGTAGGGGAGGGGCCTGAGACAGAACAACCCTGGTCTCTCCCCTGCTCTCAGCACCGAGCTGGTGACTGGGGTCTGGAGCCTGGCGCAGCTGTTTGTAGCCAGCCTGGGCTCTGGGCAGCTGCAGCAAGCAGGCTGCAAACAACTGCGTCGGGCTCCACAGCTCCAGCACCAGCTCCATGCGCGCACAGTTTCCAGTGACTTAAACCAGTATCAACCCTATTCTACAGATGAAATAAGGCACTTAGGCTAGGGACAGAAATTATACATAAACTGGTATAAGTGATCAGAAACCAATTCACATCCGTAACACAACAGAAGTTCAGTGCACGTAAACTGCTTTCAAATGGCTGAAGCCGGTTTAAGATATACCTGGATGGATGTAGTATCAGACTTAACTGATTTATGTTAAATCAGTTTATTGGACTTCTGTCCCATATACGCTTCAGATGCAAGTCAACTCACAGTCCCTCAGCATCCCAGGATGCTTTGCACTTCACCCACAAGCTCCCCTTGCAGGGTGGTTGGTCTAGCCTTGACCCAAGCTGTCTGCTCCAGCTGAGCAGGGAGGTGTGCTCTAGCACCCCCTGCCTTCTGGTATGAGCTACTGCAGGCATTCAGCTGCATTTCTAGAATCAAAAGTGAATGCCAGAATCACTGAATCGATTCAGCTTTGGGATTTTTGACTGTCTGTACTTAGCCTTAGAGTTTAAGTGACCATACAGCAGGACAGTGCTAAAGCCAAACAGAAACCAAAAATCCCAAATGCTAGTTCCTTTCTCTGCTTGTTAGATTCACCTGAATATCTGAAAACCTTCTAATTCCAGAAGATTAATTCCATCTATCTCTAGAAGTGGCAGCTGAGCATATTGAATCAACACCAAAAAATGACTATAAGATTTAACAGCAAATCCTTAAATCAAGCCAATGTCTTAGATAACGAATAAATAATCCACCATTTTACATTACATATTTTAAAAGACCATAGAGGATTTTTTTCTGATTATGGCATGGCAGTATTTCACTAAACCCCCTGCTATTTGCCACTGTCAGGGGAAAAGATACTGAATTGGACAGACCTTTGTCTTGACACAATATGGCAATTTTTATGTTCTTTTTTTTCTACGAAACTCCTGATAAATGTTATAAACAGAATCCTCCACTTGCAGGGAGAAGAGGAGGGAAATCACAAACTTTTCTAGTTCTAGCAATTCTGTTTCAAACTTACCATTTTCATCAATAACAAAATCAAATCCATTTTTTCTGAATATCTCCAAGTTTTCTATCAATATAGTTTCATTTACAGCAGTTAAATTAAGACTTTGAGGCCTAAAAGAAAGAAAAAAATAGACACAGTTTAAGGCTAAATAAAGTTGTTTGATGTGGTAACTCAATTTTGAGTCACCTATGGTGCAGACTACTGTGTACCAAAGAGATACCAGAGCTCAAACAAAGTGCCCTGCTGCTGCAGCTAAATGGTTTCTAGTACCCAACTTCACTCGTTTACAGCTAGTTTGAGTATCTCGCCACTATACCAGTTTGTACTGCATAGAAGAAGAGTAAAATCTGGTTGCAACACTCACTGGTTGCATGGCCTTGACCAAGTTCCCTGATTTCTCTAGGTCTCTTACTGATTTATGTTCAGCATAACTGATGGTTAGCATTCCTTGGATATTAACATTTTTCAAGTGTTTTGAACATGTGAAGTGCTAGGTAAGTACCTCTGTAAAACATTAAAACTAAACTAATAAAATCTCAGAACACTATTGCACCTCAATAAAATTAACAGCAGAAATTTAGCTTTATACCTGCCAAGTAGTGAAAGCTTCTACAAAGCCTTTCAGTTCAGGCAAATTTAAACTGTTAGGGGCTGGACACATGTTCATTTGAAGCAGTTTCAAAAGGGAAACATTTCAGAAGGACAGCAACTGTTGCTGTTTCATTCTAATTGTTAGGTGTGGACAAGCTGGGAATGATACAAATTTGGCAGAATCTCTCCAACTTTTATGCTGATTCATCCAGTGTTACAGCTAGAGCAGTTCTGCTACCTATGCATCATTCCCAACTTGACCACATGTAACACGTATGACTGTAACAGCTTCTAGCCTTTTGAAAAGTTCCCCTTTTATGTATGTACCCACACCATTAGAGGACCAGTGGTGTTAACACTGGTCTCTTTGTTTGCTCTTTTAAGGGCCTGATCTGATCCAAAGCTTACTGACCTCAACAGAGAGACTCAAAAGGCTGTGTAAATCAGGTCCTATAAACCAATTCACCAGAATACTTAAGCACGTGCTGTGTTTTAAGCATGTACTTAAAAGCTTTGATTAAAACAGATCTAAAGCACCTTCCTTCATACACACTTCTCTTGTTCCAGCTATACTTTTTATATATAAATGCTCATCCATAAGATGTTAACCACAGCCTAAAAAATCTGCACAAATCCTGGAAAGCAGAGAAAAGAAGCATTTTATTAAACAAGTCAAGCAAATATTCTTGTCTATGTTAAGTGACCATCATGGCACGTTCATTTTTTAAAGTAATGAGATACATAAAAGTTTCTGAGTGGCTGAACAATATGCTGCTCCATACTTAGTACTCCTTTTCTGAATTTGCCTTTCTTTACATACTGGCTTAAAATCTGCCCTAAACTTCATCTAAATATTATACCCCTAACTTGAAAAAAGCTGAAAAAACTTATTTAAGGGCATTTGTTTAAAATATTGTGTGTAAAAGTTGGATGGTGTATTTGGGAGTTCTTAATTATGTAAGTGAAGGACTTTAAAATATCATAGGTTGCAGTTTGTTTAACATAAAAAAATAAAGCTCAGAAATACTGGGGGATTTCGAGGCTGGAATTCTGAACACTTCCAGTGATCCCCAACTGTATCTTAAAGGAAAAAAAAGTCTCCTTATAGGTCTGACTCTAAGCTTTATTTACTCAATAAATCTGATGTATATCTACCAGGAAAGAGTCACTGAAAGTAGAAAGAATATATCAATTAGCATGGAGAACCAACTAAAGCAAAAGGATGCAAGACAAATGCAATTACACAGGTATCATCCTAAACTGAAGGTTCTCCCCAGCAGAATTTTACAATAGGCAGAAGTTCAACATGACCAGAACTGGTAATACAGGATAAACACTTACGCTATCAACTTCTGACCTTGAAGAACGGTGTGCTGTTGTAACATCTCAAAATTGTATTTCTCATCTGTAGCATGTTGGTCAATTATGAAGAGGTCAGACTTTAGCTTGGCAATTATAAACCCTAAATTGAACTGACCAATAATTTCCATGTTTGCAAACATCTCTTTACTGTATTTAGAAAAACAGAACAGATTATCTAATGTTGATCAGTCACATGTAAACATGCAAGGACTTTATTCAATTTTATTTTTCTACAAAATGCTCAACATACTCAGGAACTGTATTTAAAAATAAATACTTTTGCTCTTTGTAGAAAGTAAGGAGGAAAAAAAGTGGGAACAAAACTTGTGAACAACTGATAAGGCATAATTTTGAATGCTGGAAAGTAATTTTTACAAACTCATTTTCCACCTCCCAATGTGAGTCTGGTCCATCTGCAAAGCTGTTCTACCCTCAAAAACTTCACCGTACACTAGAGGAGATAAATATGAATTACAGGCTTCACATAACAAACTATCCCAGATAATTATTTTGTTGCTTTTCATAAAGTTTGGCATTTCTTTGGATATATCAATCTACACACTCCAACTAACGACTACAAGAGATGTATTGTGATGCATGTGGCACTCGGTATTTATTGCACATACTTCCATATTCAACATGCATCTACATCTGAAGTAACTGCAGCTACCAGATTAAACAAATTACCAAAAAATGCTTATATGGTAATGGATGCTTCATAGATTTCATAGACATTAGGGCGGGAAGGCACCTTGCAAGATCATCGGGTCCAGCCCCCTGCCCAAGGGGCAGGAAGTCAGCTGGGGTCAAATGATCCCAGCAAGATAGGCATCCAACTGTTTCTTGAAAGTGTCTAGAGTAGGTGCATGCTCCACCTCTGGGGGAGTCTATTCCAGGCCCTGGGGACACTAAAGAAGTTTTTCTTCTACAAACCTGTATTTCCAAAATTAATCAACAGATAAAGGCTTTTTCAGCAAATACAGTTAACCTGTCATTTTCACTAACTTCATCTATTATCTGCTTAACAATAAAAGTTAGGAAGGTATAAATACCGTATCTCTTTTCTTAATTCATCCTCTGCTGCCTTATTTTCTCCAGGACTAATTTTTGCCTTAAATCTTCTGTAATTCAGCATTTCTGTATTTTTCTGTTGGAGCTGAGTAAGTTTTCTTACTCTTTCTGCTAAAGTGTTCATTGAGAACTCAAGTGTCACAGTTTTCTTTTGAACTTTTATCAGTACATCAGCATGTAGTCCTGGCGCAGGGTTCTGAGCATTCTTTAGTTCTGGACAGGTAGTTCCCTTTAAGTCCTCTTTTTTACTTTTAAAACGCTTCATATTTGGGAAAGAATTTGGAAGGAACCCTCTCCGTTCTTTCTGATCACTCACTTGGTTCAATTTACATACATTTCCTGAAAGCTGGACATCACATTCCAATGATTCCTCAGCACAGGTTACGGTTTCAAGACGCCCACTTTGGAGATTTTCATCTGATATATGGAATTCTTCATCAGGAGAAGCATCTGTACTTTCACTGCTGAGGCAGCTACCTACTTCCGGAGTGCTAAACCTAACATTTGATTCTGCAGAAGTACTACCATGTCCAGAATCAGTGTCATTTTCTAATTTCTTCAAATTTGTGCCAATAATTGTATGTGTGTTTAAGTCCACTGCACTCCAGCACTCAGTCTCCTTGTTCGGGTCAGATTTTTGACTGTTTACAGGACTTGAAGTGGAAAGATCTGACAAATGTCTCTGCCTAGGGGGGCTGTGTTGTTGTTTCACATTTTTAGGGCTCCCAAAGCTGCTCTCTGTCATTTGATGGAGTGAGAACGACTCCCTTAATCTGGTAATAGTCATCCCTCTTTTTAATTCCCTGCTTGGATTTTGAGATGCAGAACCAAGCAATGTTTCTGCCTTAGGCTTTTCGGTTTCTTCTGGAAGTATTTTTTTCAAGTTACCTAATCAAGTATGAACAAGGCTAATTTTAGATTTTCTGTTAATCTTAATTAAAAAAAACAAATAAAATCACTGCGGAAATGAATAGTGAGGAAGATGGGGGAAGAAACAGAAACAAGCAAATACAGCAAGCTATAGATCAGCAATAGACTGAAGATGAGGTACTTTTGCATCAAAATATCGAATTATTTTAAAGCTCCCATTAAAAAATTAACAATTTAAAGAGATAACATGGCAGCTACATTATAAATAGGAAGTTTCAGTTCTGACACCAGATCCTCCCACCCTGATGTCTCACTACAAATGGTATTCTAGGAGTCTATAATGGTCTCATCAATTTCAATGTCACCAACAGGCTTATTTCCTCTTAGGAAGTTATGCTTCAAAATACATTTTATCTAACCTTTGAATTTTGTCATACCACAGTGATTCTTGCTGTTAAGATTAGACCTACCTGCAATATCCAGCAGCTTTTGATTGATGTTAAGTTTATTAACATCACTACCAAACATATCCATCAGAGAAGTCTTTAAAATTGCTAACAAAACTTTCTCCTCCTGAAGTAAAATTTGCCTCTTATCAGGTGTTACATTGATGTCAACACATTCTAAAAAGAAAGGAAAGCAATTTTAAAGCTTAACTTAGCCAATATTTTTGTTCCTTCCATCCTTGGATTGAAGTTCCTTTATTTTTCCTTTTCTTTATTCCATTGCATTTATTTATGTCTGCAAATAAGACAGTGTAAACTGCCTGCATAAGTTTGTTCTTCATTACAACACATATTTTATTATTGCTAGCTCTGTCCAGAAACGTAATTATCCGGAGTTCTGCAAATAAGGCCAATTACAGATTAGAAACATCTTCTCAACTCAATCAAAAGCAGTATTTCAGTTAATCTAATAGATACTTATGCCCCAGTAATTCAAATACTATGAAACTGTGTTTGTTTTGCATTCATCTATTCTAGTCTTCTGCAACAGTTAACAGAAAATGATCAGAAGAACTCACCAGAATCTACACAAATATTTAGAACAATAAATGGATATTGGTGTTTATTGTACATGTGGTAAACTTCATTGACAAGCTTGGAAACCTGCATAGAAAGTGAAGAAACAGTAAGAGGTATTATTATTCACTCTAATTCTGTTGATAAGGATTATCTAACCCAAATCTTTATTCACAAGATTAGACCTTAACACCCACAGTATATCCTCTGAAGATATCAAAACAAATGTGAGCAAGCACTTGCATTATTAAGCCAATCTGGCCAATTTGTTGGACTCTCTTGACCCATCTTGATGCTAAGGATACAGAAGTGAAGGACTCAAGAATAATAATACTGACAAGGTCTAGACTAGAAATTGTTTAAAATAAACAATTATCAGTAACGCTATGGTTTGGAACTGTACCTTTGTTGGATCACATGGTCTCTGATTGATGAAAAAGAACTGTCTCTCTGTTGTACTCCTTCCAACGCCATGATCACAATGGGAAATGAAGCCTGTAATGCTATTTAATATAAACATGATAAGAGTACATTGTGATAATGGAAGAACACTTCTAAAGTACAGGAAAGCCAAAACTAGTCTGAAGAATCAGTAAACACCTGTGTATAGTTTAGCTCCTCAAGCCCAGGTTGGCATGTGCCAAGTGATCAACATCTACTCTTCTACCAGTCAGAAAAGGAACACTATCTGGCTTCAAATGAAGCTGCATTCATTATCTCCCTTAGTACTCAAGGGACAACCGTGACACTGATTTTGAGAGCAGGATAAGCCCAAACACTGATGTTTTAATAAAAAAAATCTTTCCTCCAGAAGCCACTATAAATTATTTCATTAAAACGTGCTTAAGAATTTGATTACACAAGTCAGAGACATTCTGTTCTCACTTATACCTATGCCTCTCCCCACCCCTCCCCCACAATGACATTAGTAGGGAAGGTACAATTTGGTCATAAATTTACAACTATTTCAAAATTCCAATATAGGATTAATTCAACAGAAAATTGAAATAAAAAAAATTGACCAGGATGCAGGAAATATAAGCCTTAACCCTCCTACTCCATGTACCTCTATTAGCTACCTCTTATTTCTGAGTTACTTTCCCCAACTGTATACCAGGTGTCCATTGTGCTGTCCTTAAATATTTTAGTAACCACAATACATATTATACTTTGAACTTTCTTTAAAATTACTGATAGTCTTAAAATGCTTCTCTGGTCAGAGCAACATAGTTTCCTACTTACGTATACAGACTATGCGGCATGTCAACAGAGCTGAGGCCATATTCTTCACAAACAGCTTCACTAGGAAGTAGCTGAGCAAAGGAAATAAGGCTCTGCAACTGAAAAAAAATTAAATTGCCAGTTATTCCTTTTGGTACCAGAAGTTTAAAAGACAGTTGTAATGAATCGGGCTCAATGGGATTTTTAATCTTTTCTTCCTCTTATTCATGTTTAGGTCAGACACTGTGAAGAGCTTATAGAATTAAAGATGCAATCTTCTTTTTTGTTTTCTTTTATAAACTGTCAAAATCATAATCAACTTAGCACAGGTGGTAATTTTAATATTTAAAATGCTTTAATATTTAAAATTCAGCCAAATGAAAAGACGGAACTACCCTCAAACCCCTGCTAGGTTGTGCACTGCTGAAGAGTGCACACAAAAGCACAAAGTCTAAATTAACTCTTCTTACTTGGTGTGTGATCACACAGTTCCAGCCCTTAATTTTCCATCTCTCCCTATCAAACCCACATGGGCTTTTCTAAGCCAATTTGAGACAGAAAAACATTTACTCCGGCTTCCCAGCCATAAATGACTTAATCAAGTTTCCTGCACTCAGTGAACAGTATCAAATAAAGCTTCCTTTGAATGAAAACCAAATATTTCCAATATGATTATATCTTATATGTAACACAGATAAAATACCCTTTAATAACAAATGTTAACATAATCAGTGGGGTCACTCTTACTTTTTCTAGTTTTTAATGATGCATCAAGAACTCTGGCATTAAAAGGACTACAAAGTAGGATATTAAACTTAACATTTTAGTTCAGGGGTATCAAACTCACTTTGTGTCCTGAGGGCTGTATGTTCAAGTTCAGTCATCAAGTGATTTTGGACTCGTGTTCTTCATTGCCCTCCAGGACACCCTATTAAACATCTACTGTGGGCGCTCACTCCCAAAAAGGAACAAAGAACCACTACATGGATATCACAAATGGCCACACAGGGGTTGGGGTAGATGCATACCGTAACCCCGAAGCAACCCCCAGGAACCAGAGTCAAAATACTGCCTAAATATGTCTTTGGGCTGAAGACAAGAGTATTTTTTTACTGCTTGTTTTTATTTTCTACTTATTTTCACCAGCTGGAGATAACTATTTATAATAGTCTTTTGTTAATCACTAAGACATAAACATCTGCTGACTGGAATGTCATTTAAGATGGTAGATCAAAATTCTAAACTACTGAATTTCATGTTGAGAGGTTGCAAAACAGAACTCTCTCTCCTAAGTGAGATTTCCACACTGCAAAACATTAATATTTTTATTGTTCAGATTTGTGACTTCGGGCATCTTTGCAAATCCCCAAAAGCACAGATGATGGCTCTTCATCTTTCTTGGACATCTGCTACAATACTAACATAATGAGTCTTGAGTACTAAGGATTGTATACATCCCTTCATTCTGTATCATTCCCCTCTCTAACCCCTTCCCCCCTCAGATTGGCTACACAAGTAAAACCAGAAACAGAACCTGGGAAGATGGAAATTCTCTCTGCTTATTCAACCTGTAGGGTGTGCTACGAGAATGGAGTACGTACTGTGTTTTATGTCTAAAATAAATGTATACATAAGGATTTAAACAGGATCTTTATTCACACTGTATTCAATTGCATATTAAGGTGGATTACTTGTAGCTGCATTTTTATTTCTTTCCAGTAGTACTACCTGTTTTTGCCCAAATACTGCTCCTATGTTTTCCTTCAGACTTGAACTCCCAGGGGTGCATACCACAGTGTGTTTTTTCCCTTGACCAACTTGATTGGTACAGGTAATTCGAACTCCCGTTGAAATGATACAATATGCTTGCAGTATCTGGACCATTTTTGCATACTCCTATTAAAAAATAAAATTAGGCATATTATATTAAAACTTAAAAACACCATAGAATTTAAAATAAACTAGCAGGATATCCTGGTTTGGGGTATACCATAATTTTTCCCTACCTTTATAAAGCATTCTGTAGCTTTACTGCGAGACAACTGCTACTTCTACAAACCGTACAAAATTGTCCTTATCCTTACAAGTATGAAATCAGTATTTAAAATAAAAGTTAGTACTAAAGTTAGCTTGAAAGGAAAAGAACTTCAAACAATCTTTCATTATTTGCATTGAAGAGATCGGGTTCTAGAACAAAATGACTGAACAAATCAAATCTTTCCCAACACAAAACTCAAATCAAGAGGAAAGAGAAAGAATTACAATTTATTATTTAAATTAAGTGCATTTGTTGTTTAGAAGGTTTACACTTGCTGGGCACCATATTCTTTTTAAAACAGATTTCCAACTGGCCATACCTTCTTAATGTTTCTTTGAAGTTCTTTATGCCGTACTGGCAGAGTATAAAATAATTGCTGTATGCTAACAGTTGTTCCTTGCTGTCGTGGGTAAGGAGTTTTCTGAGTAATTTTCCCATTGTGATCAAATACCAGACGAGTTCCAACTTTTGCAGACTTGTGACAAGTAAAAATGGTAACATCACTTGAGAAGGGGAAAAAAATAGTTTATTGACTAAGCAGTATCTTTTCTTTACCCAGTCTCCAGTACCAATCCCCTCCCCTGCAAAAACTCAGACGTTTCTATTCATATTTCACCAGCACCACTGAGACAGCTTTTAATAAAGCTTATTCTTTACAAAGAACATGCATGTGATACTTAAACATATCATAAAGATCTTCCTAATTGTAATGCCAAACCTTGCATTTTTATATTTTGCATTTATCTATTACATCTTGCAGAGACTGTAATGTTGGGCTCTGCTTCTGTTGGTTTATGCTCTTTCTTTGAACGCACACTATAGTAACATCACTGGTACACATAGGTGAATGTTGTGATCATTTCTAACACTTAGTTTAGAATGTGGATTTAAAATTTCTCCTAAAGAGTAACAAAGCTGGAAAATAGTGAACTGATGAAGAAATATCTTGCCTTAAGTGCTTTACATCTAGAGGCTCTATGCTTTGCAAACATGGACCTCAACCCTGTAAAGACTTGTGCATATGCTTAGCTTTAAACCTCTGAATACGAGACCAGTCAATTACTTAAAAGCTGAACTGTTGATTAGTTGGTCAGATACAGCTCTGCAAGATCAGAGAATCTGTTTTGTTAGTTATCCAGAAGATTGGTTCACTTTATATGGAGCTAACAGCTAAAAGAAGGACTGAAAAATGTTGAAGGGTTTACTGGTCACTGACATTTGGATCAATTTTTTTTCAGTCATATCGTACTACACTGAAGGTTTATACATGAGCCTTGGCCAAGATGAACTTATTTCAGTAAAGACCTCTAAATTTTATCCCTTTTATAAGTTAGTGGCAGCTTATACAAAATTACACTATTACAAAGACAAACATCCATTTTTTATAACACCAGACACAGAATGTTTATAGTTTTCAGTAACTAGTAAAGAATCCATCAGGTTATTACACGTCACATGAGAAAACTCTGATTTTACAATAAAAGATATGGCACATTAAAGGCACCAAAAGACAGCCTGAGGCTTTTGCATTTCAAATCTGAACGGTCTTTTTTTCTTAATTTGGGCTATAATGAAAAAGATGCCTAGGCACATACTTAACAGGATGGTTTTGCTGAAGCAGGGCCTTAAAAAGTAACAGCCTTACAGACTGAAGACTTGTCTGCACATAAGTTTATATGAATATAAATTTAGTTACATCAATGCAAAAAGATTTCTGACCAAACACCACATCTCTTCATACTGACACAGGCAGAATGTTACTGAGGATCTTTAACTCCTGTTTGGACCAGGAGTAATTTCACATTAGATTAAAGAATATCCTAATAATGTTGGCATCACTGTGCCTGTGCTCTGAAGTATTCTGCTGGTTCTCCAGCTGCCTTTCCAGGATGTGCTGTATCCTCTCTCAACTGCATGGCCCCTACAGCTGTTCCAAAACAAACTGGATTTTTCATTTAAAGCACCAATATTTGATTTGGGATAAGAGGCAGAAACACTACTTACCTGAATCATCCCTGCAAAGACACTCAGTGGAGTATTAATACATGACAAAGATCATTTAAAAAAAATGTTTCTGACGGGTAACCCTGCTTGCTGCTCAGCCACATAACATAAGACCCATCAGACTTTGGTTGCATACACATGGATATTAATAAACATGTCTTAAAAGGGAAGATTACCAAGCCAAGGTAAATTTATGTATAATCTTGTTATAGCAAACTTTAATTTAGCCTTACTTGCTGTGCCTGGATTTAACAACTGTTTAACAACTGTTAAACTACATTTTTGTAGTACATAAATGGCTTAATTCTACAGCACTTACCCACTTAAAAAATAAGATATTCCTGAACAGCAAATAATTGTTTTTGTCAGTTGAGGAAAAAGCAAGTTACAAATTTCCAAAGCCTTGTTTCATTGATAATTGAAGCCATAGTTGTCAATTTAATATTAGTATTGCTGTAAAGCAGTAAACTTCTACTAATAAAGGTTAATATTATTACCTTAATGCACACAGTGAACTCAGAGCTTCACCTCGAAATCCAAATGTTTCGACACATATTAGATCAGAGAAATCTTGTATCTTAGAAGTATAATGTTTCAAAGCTGGAAAAACATATTTATAATATATATAATTCTACCACATCTTTCTAAAGTAACACTGATTTATATAAGCATTTTTTTGTAATTACCAGAAAAAACAAAGAACTTTTACAGTATAACTATTCAAGATAAAGAAGTAATTCAACAGTTTTCTTCATTTGCAAAATGTGCGTGAAATTCTCAAATATAGCTATTTATCCAAATTATTCATAAATTGATTCAATGAACAAATATTGGTCCACGGATCCTTTGCAAACAATTCACTGGGAAAAAAATCCACTATTTTAATTGCACTGATTAAACATGCTTGTTTAGTGTTACACAGTATTTCTGTAACCCTCTCTGGACCACTTAAAAGCCAGATTGTAATATTTATAGGCAAAGATACAATGTTAATTTTATTTTAAGCAAATATTCAAGGTTATAAGGTCACTTTTAAAAAGCTGTCATACTTGTAAAATTTAACTGCTTGAGTCTTCACAGAAAATGAACATCACCAGTATTTGTTCCATGCACAATCTAGATACAGGTCTCTTGCATACATGTACATACCACTAACATGACACCAAGTCATCCTATAACTAGCTTCATCTCAACTCTTGAAGGTATATTTATTCTGTGGAAGGGTCAAGTATCTTTTTCAAAAACATTACATTTTAAAAGTTTACGAGAAGTGGTAGAGGAGGCTCTAAAACAAATTAGAAGGAAAAAAATTCAACTTACTCAACCCCTCGAAGTTTTCTTCTTCTACACCACAACCATTATCTGAAACTTCTATAAGTTCTGCTCCATAATCTTTAAGTTTTATATCTAAAATTAAAAAAAGGGGGGGAGATTTAATTGACAGAATCCATATGCAGAATTTTGAGTTCATAACATTAACTTATTTTAAATGTCCTCAACAGTCATTTGTTTTTCAACACAGATTAAAAAAGCTTTTTTCTTTAATTTTTTTTTCTTTTCTTTTTTTTGGGTGCCAGTTTAGTTTCTCTATTATAAAAGCTGCCAGCCTGAAAGCTCTGGAATCTAAAATCCTGTTCCTTGGTACAGGTCCACCATAAACAACAGCATATGCTTCCTCCCCTCCCTTCTAACACTTACATTGTGGTTAGAAGCAACACTTAAAAATATATACAGCTTCAATCTGTTGTTTCTAGTCAGACTTTATTTGTAAGTGG